ATTTGGGCCAAAGCAACTTGAAAGATGGGGAAAAACTGTAGATAGCACCGTTTTGAGCAAGATGAGCATTCCATCTGGCGCATGCTGAATTGCAGATGTCTACTAGACATCTCAAGGGAAATGCTGAGAAGTAGGCAGCTAGATACAGAGGTCTGAAGTTCAGAGGGAGAAGTCAAGGTCTGAGCTATCGTTTTTGGTGTCATCAGTATACAAATACAGAGATTGAGTGAAACCATCAGAGACTGTATAGAGAAAAGAGTTTCTAAGCACTTAACCTTAGGTGCTCCAGGGTTAGAACCTCTGAAAAAAAAGAGGAGAGGCCAGCAAAGGAGACAGAAAGGAGAATCCAGTGGAGAAAGAGTAAAATTATGAATGCCCGGTGCCCTGGAAGCGCGTATGGAATGGTTTCAAGGAGCAGAGAGTGATAATGGTGACCATGCTTCTGACGGGTGCAGCAAGATGAGTGAAGTGAGATGAGCACTGATGACTGACTGCTGGATCGATATTGGTGATCTTGATAGGAATGGTGTTGGCAAAGTATGAAGACAAAAGATGGACATGGTTGGGTTTAAGAAAAAGTGCGAGAAGAGGAATTAGAGACAAGAAATAGATAACACTTTCAAAATTTTTTGCCTTAAAGGGAAGCAGAGAAATGACTTCATCTCACAAACATAATGTTAAGCAAAACAATCTATGTAAGAATGCCCAGCTATATTTATATAAAATTATATGTGCATATGTATATGTGTGTGTACACATACACATACATACATATATTTTAGAGACAGGGCCTTGTTCTGTTGCCCAGGCTGCGTGAACCTTATAATGAACTGTGCATGTGGGGGATCTAGGTTCCTCACTCCTTATGACAATCATAGCTCATTGCAGACTTGAACTCCTAGGTTCAAGTAATCCTCCTGCCTCAGCCTCCTAAGTAGTTAGGACGATAGTGTTGGTGATGAAGTGGTCTTGCCTGGGTACAGCCAGTAAGGAGGAGAACTATCTGCAGAGAATTTAAAAGCAATAGTGAAACTGATGAAGAGCCCGTCTGCATTTTATTGTTGCCATGAACCAGCAGTTCTAAATAATGATGGTATAAACTGTGCTTCCCACCAGATGGGCTGCTACCCACCCCACCGCTGGGCATGCCACCCACCCCACTGCTGGGCCTGCCACCCACCCCACTGCTGGGCCTGCCACCCACCCCACCGCTGGGCTGCTACCCACCCCACTGCTGGGCATGCCACCCTGGAAATGTCTAATTAGTAACTTTTACTTTCTCCAGAACAGTACAAAAATCTTTGGTTTTGGACATTCTTCTCATTTCTAATTTATTATTGTCCAGAATTTTAGTCTTATGTTTTTCAAAACTCTTCAAGAAGTAAAACGTGACTACTGTTTTACATGGCCAGTGTTCGTTTCAATTCACTCACGTTTTTTTTTTTTCTGTTTCACGCTCCCTCTTGCATCATATGCGGGGTAATTTTCCTTCTTCCTTGACTGCATCCTTTAGAAATTGCTTTTATAAGGGTCTGTTACACTCTTACACAGTGAGCGTGTCTCGCTCACTCCATTTCTGTTTGTCTGAGAATGTCTTTATTTTACTCTCATTTTTGAAATGTTTTTCTCTTTGTATCCAATGCTAAGCTGGCAATTACTGTCTCCAGCACTTTGAAGACATTATTCCACTGACTTTCTGGCTTCCATTGCATGCCATTGAGAAGTCATTTGTCAATCTAATTATCATTTTTCTGTAGGCTATGCTCTTTTTATTCTTCTGACTGTTTATAAGATTTCTTTTTCTTTGGTGTTCTGCAGTTTCACTACCGTGTGTTTAGATTTGAATGTCTTTTCATTTACTCTATTGGAGAGCTGTTAGGCTTCCTTAAATCTAATTCATGGCTTTCATCTCATCTGCAAAATCCTCCATGAATATTTCATTGTCTGTCTGTCACTCTACCTTATTATCTCCCCAAGGAACTCCAAATATATATCTGAGGAATTTTCTCACTCTTTCTCCATGTGTGTTAATAATTTTCTCACTTGTATCTCTCTGTGCTGTATTCTAAATGAGTTCTTCCACTTTAATATTTTCTTCTTTATACAAGTCTAACTTGCTCTTAGCTTGTTTATTAAGCTTCTAATCTTGACTACAGTCATGAATCCTTAATAACAGGAATACTTCCCGAGAAACGCATTTTGTCATTGTGTGACCATCGTGCGGTGTACTTATACAAACCTAGATGGCATAGACTATTACAGACTTAGGCTAGATGGCATAGCCTATGTTCCTAGGCTTCAAACTTGTACAGCATGTTACTGTACTGAATACTGTAGATAATTGTAACACAATGGTAAGCATTTGTGTATCCAAACATACTTAAACAAAGAAAAGATACAGTAAAAGGCCAGGCATGGTGGCTCACACCTGAAGAACAGCACTTTGGGAGGCCAAGGTGGGTAGATCATCTGAGGTCAGGAGTTTAAGACCAGCCTGACTAACATGGTGAAACCTTGTTTCTACTAAAAACACACATACACACACACATACACACACACACACACACACACACACACACAAAATAGCCAGGTGTGGTGGCATGTACCTGTAATCCTAGCTACTTGGGAGGCTGAGGCAGGAGAATCTCTTGAACCCGGGAGGCAGAGGTTGCAATGAGCCGAGATTGTGCCATTGCACTCCAGCTTGGTTAATAAGAATGAAACTCCATCTTAAAGAAAAGAAAAGAAAAGAAAAGAAAAAAGAAAAGGAAAGAAAAGAAAACAAAAGGAAAGGAAAGGAAAGAAAAGGAAAGGAAAGGAAAGGAAAGAAAAGAAAAGATTCAGTAAAAATGTGTATAAGAGATCAAACATGCTACACCCGTATAGGGCACTTACATGAATGGAGCCTCAGGGCTGGAAGTTGCTCTTCCAAGGGTCTTGCTCTGTCACCCAGGCTGGAGTGCAGTGGTGGAATCTCGGCTCACTGCAACCTCTGCCTCCCTGGTTCAAGTGGTTCTCCTTGCCTCAGCCTCCTGAATAGCTGGAATTGCAGGCAACTCCCACCATGCCCGGCTCAGTTTTATACATATATCTTTAGTAGTGATGGAGTTTCACCGTGTTGGCCAGACTGGTCTTGAACTCCTGACCTCAAGTGATCTGTCCGCCTCAGCCTCCCAAAGTGCTGGGATTACAGGTATGAGCCACTGAGCCCAGCCATTTATTATAATTATCAAGTATTATACACTGTACATAATTGCATGTGCTAGACTTTTGTAAGACTGCAGTGCAGTAGGTTTGTTTACACCAGCCTCACCACAGACACGAGTAATGCTTTGTCATACAACATCATGATGGCTACGATGTCACTAGGTGATAGGAATTTTTCAGCTCCACTACAATCTTACAACCACTGTCATATATGCCAGGGGTTCTCAACCAAGGGCCTGTACCAGGGTCTGTGGCCTGTTGGGAACTGGGCCGCACAGCAGGAGGTGAGAGACAGGTGAGCAAGAGAAGCTTCGTCTGTATTTACAGCCACTCCCCATTGCTCACATTACTGCCTGAGCCCTGCTTGCTGTCAGATCAGCGACGGTATTAAATTCTCATAGAAGCGTGAACCCTATTGTGAACTGTGCATGTGAGGGATCTAAGTTGCGTGCTCCTTATGAAAATCTAATGCCTGATGATCTGTCACTGTCTCCCATCACCCCCAGATGGAAGTGTCTAGTTCCAGGAAAACAAGCTCAGGGCTCCCACCGATTCTACATTATGGTGAGTTGTGTAATTACTTCATTATATATTTCAATGCAATAATAATAGAAATAAAATATGCAATAAATATAATGCACTTGAAACCATCCTGAAACCATTCCCCCTGCCCTGGCTTGTGGAAAAACTGTCTTCCACAAAACCAGTCCCTGGTCTCTAAAAGGCTGGGGCTGCTGATATACATGGTCCATCATTAACCAAAACATAGTTATGCTTCCCATGACTATAGTTCTATTTCCCCCCCAAATCCATGATTATTTTGTTCTATTTTTATGATGCTCGAATTATGTACCTTGTTATGTTCTTATGATGTTATTTTCCTTTGTGTGTAAACATATTAAACATTTAGTTTATATTCTAATACTGATAATTCTTCTATGTCAAATCTTTGTTGGTCTGATTCTGCTGTTTATTACTTCAGTTGGCTTGTTCATGAAACTTTATATTCTTGTATGATTCTGAATTTTAAAAAATCATAATCTCATATTCTACAGAATTTTACTTGTGGCAATATTTTGATTCCTGTATTGAGGTACATTCTTTCAGAAATCATTTGCCTTTGATACATATAGGTGCCTGGAGACACTGACAATCAGGACCACTTTAAATTAAGTTTTCAGCTTAAAAAAAGTCTAGCCTATAGGAACTGGACTCCAGAAATGTGTGAGTGCTGGTTTATAATGGCAAATACTTAGGGTATATTCTTCAGACTCCACCCAGATTAGTTTTCTTTGTTAGGAATTTTCTGCCTGTCATTTTATATTTTGTTCTGATTCACCATTTACTGAGGATGTGGATGAGGATCTGGGCCAGGTATAGTGGCTCATGCCTGTAATCCCAGCACACACAGCAGAGTCAATGCTTCCTTATCTATCTATCTGCATCCTGGTCTTGCTTTGGCATCTGAGGATTTTTCTTAGTTTATTACCCATTCAGCCATTTATTTTTTTTAAATTAAATTTATATCCATGAAATACAAGGGTTTTGTGGTGTAAAGATTTTTCTGATATCCAGTCTGTTGTTGCCTAATGAAAGTAAGCTTTTCTTAGTTTATTATTGTTTTAAAAGTCTGCTGCCTTTAATAAATAAGATTTTCTTAAAAAATAATTAAAAATACTGAAATTTGTTTAAATTTCAAGCAACCCTAAAGTCCCCATATTAGTCCATTTTCTGTTGACTAAGAATGCCTGAGACTAAAACATTTGTAAAGAAAAGAGGCTTATTTAGCTCATAGTTCTGGAGGCTGGGAGGTCCAAGATCAGGTGACAGCACCTGGCTGACTTTTGGCAAGGGCTTCACTTTATGCTGTGTCATAACATGGTGGAGAAGGAAGGGGAAGTGCGTGTGCAAAGACCAAACACGAGAGGCAGTCTTGCTTTTAACAATTCACTCTGGTGGTAACTAATCCATCCCCAAGCGAACAAGAGTTTACTTTCAGGAGAAAGGCATTGATCCCTCTTGAATGACCTAATTACCTCTTAAAAACACCACTTCTCAACACTGCCACACTGGGCACCAAGCCTCAGCATGAGCTTTGGTGTTGTAGTCAAGCCATGGTACCCCCTTCTCCTTTAAGCTCAACCCTCCATCCCATTCCCCCTAAGGTAATTGCATGGAGACCATCTCCATTAAGACAGAAAAGTAAGAAAACAAGGTAATGTCTAAATGATCAGGACCCAAACTCTCTGAAAATCCATTTAAAGAGTTTGTTTTGTTTGATAATGAAAATCTGGGTCAGGTACAGTGGCTCATGCTTGTAATCCCAGCACTTTGCGAGGCCGAGGTGGGTGGATCAACTGAGGTCAGGAGTTCGAGACCAGCCTGCCCAACATGGCGAAACCCTGTCTCTACTAAAATACAAAAATCAGCCAAGTGTGGTGGAATGTGTCTGTAATCCCACCTACTTGGAAGGCGAGATTGTACTCCAGCCTGGGTGACAAAGCAAGACTTTCAAAATAAAAAGAAAAGAAAAGAAAAAGAAAATCTGGCCTTCAACTTCAGCTATTCTTTAAGGCACCAAAACATAGTTTATGAAATAGTGGAACCTAAGGCTGATAGATCACACACATGCTGCGTTTGAGTTCATGAATATATTGAGAGCACTCATCTGGGCTATCTGGACTCTCAAATACCAAATGCTCTACACACACTGAAAAATATCCATTTGATGTATGTGAGCCAATTCCAAATCCAAACGAATCCTCATTTCATGCACTTAAAATAATATCATCACTGTGTTTGACTTTTTGGGAGGCAATCTTTCTATGCAGAGTGCCCCTTTCCTTACTAATCCCTTTGGGATTGCAACTAAAAATCCATTTTCATTATTCTAACTTTTATTTAATTAAAGGTAGATTAAAGTACCAGTTATGCTAGCTGGTTAATCTAATGGAGGGTGCAATCAGAGGCCATCAGCTGGTCCTAGAGTGGCTGAGTGCACTGGCTGCTGGCTGTGAGCACTGGGCAGGGTCACTGTGCATTTTCCAGTGAGGAAAATGAGGGCAGAGCAGCACGGCAGCTGTGGTTTCTGTGATATCAAGGGGGCACTTGGCACCACTGGCCTTTTCCATTTTTTAAAAATTTGTGTGTACTCACCAAACTTGGTGGCAAGAGTTGCTTTTTGTGTCTTAAGCCTCAAGACCATCCAGGGAGGAGGACAGTGAAGGGAAGGAAATTAGTGAATGACAGAGGGGTGTCACTGTCAATTTCTGTGATCAAGAAGAAATGGACGCTTACTCCATCTGTCTCTCATTCCAAAAGTTATCTCTGCAAATTGGGGGATGAAAGTGGGGAAGTGGGGGGTGATGAGAGGGATGAAGAGGTCTGTTAACAGGTAGCCAAGAGTTGGGTGTTCTGGTGTAAAATTTGTGGGGTGCTATTACTTCATTTACCTAATTAAAGGCTAATTTTAAAAAAATTAAGCTTATTTGAGATGTGTGGTTATTTACCCACCCACTCCAAATCCCTCTTACATTCAAACTTGTGAATTTCATCTATTTTTGGAAATAAGATCCTGCCAGAAAATCATTTTATATCATTAGGCAACCACATTATATTCTTACGCCTTCAGTAAAGATGATTATATCTACCACTTCTTCTGTAACTGGCTTAGTAATTATTACTAAATTACTCATCAGCTTTTTCTAGTTGAGATAAAAATGCTTCTTTTAACTTTTCTCATGGGTCTCCTCCCCTCATCTTTCAGTCATCTTCAAAAATGTGTCTTGAAACCTCTTTTTAAGATCTTTATAAATCCTCTAAGATCTTTTTTTTTTTTTGAGACGGAGTTTCGCTCGTTACCCAGGCTGAAGTGCAATGGCGCGATCTCGGCTCACCGCAACCTCCGCCTCCTGGGTTCAGGCAATTCTCCTGCCCCAGCATCCTGAGTCGCTGGGATTACAGGCACGCGCCACCATGCCCAGCTAATTTTTTGTAGTTTTAGTAGAGACGGGGTTTCACCATGTTGACCAGGATGGTCTCGATCTCTTGACCTCGNGACGGGGTTTCACCATGTTGACCAGGATGGTCTCGATCTCTTGACCTCGTGATCCACCCGCCTCGGCCTCCCACAGTGCTGGGATTACAGGCTTGAGCCACCGCGCCCGGCCAAGATCTTTTAAAATCCGTAAATAGCTTACGCTGTGATAGCAGTCTGAGAAACGCTGGGAAAACGAAGGAATTGCTTCAGGAAGTCTTGATGCAGCCTATTCTTTGTTGGATCTCTGTGTCAGAGAAAAATGCTGATTCAGTTTGTATTTTCTACTTTTTAGATTCCCATTTTTACAAACGGAATCTGGCATCCGGCATCCTGTTAGTGGAATCTCACAAGTGCGGAGTCAGGGACAAAGGGACATTTCAGACTGAGATTTGGGAATTGCTAATCAATGTATTTCCATATTATTAGCTCTTAAAAACCGAATGCAAGCATATTTAATTAGATTTCTGCCAAAAACCAATTTTTAAGAAGGACAGTGTTCAGGACCAGCCATTTTTAATAACATCTTTTTTCTTTTTGGTCAGGGGAAATATTTTATAGGAATAGGATTTGTCTTCTGTTATGCCTTTGAGCTGTATGTTTTTGCTTATCCTGCTCTGCACCTGGGTAAACTGATCTCTTCTTTAGCACCTGAGCTTTGACATAACGTTCCCTGGAAGAACTGAATTGAAAGTTGTTCCAGCATCGAGGATGTCAGCAGAGACTAGCAGAGGAGATAAAAGGATTTGGAAATCTTGAAGTATCAGGGGATACAAAAGGTAAAGCTTGAATTTTTCTGCCTTTTTAAATTTGTTTTCAGCTTTTAATGCTTTTGTAACCTCCTCCCTTCTGAAGAAAGAGCAAAAGGTATTGATTTGCCAACAAACAAGACACTTAAATTAGGTTACACAAAACAGTGGCAGAAAGAATAGGATTGGTGGGTTATTTTCATTTCTCGTCTTATTCTACCTAATTCACTTACAGGAATCCATTCATTTCAAATTAGGATATAATGGATTTGTGGAAAAGTAAAGGAAATAACTGGAGCTGATTAACGTAAAAGTCTTTAGAAAAGGTAAGTGCCTCCTAACCATGTTGACTAACGTAAATAGACGTTATTTTTTTTTCAATTAGGAAAAGAGAGAGAGAGAGATGTTTGTATATTGACGACACTAAAGGCCAGGAATAGTGTGGTTTAGAGGCCGGCACTTAACCTGTGTAATAATAAGTCAGTCTTATTTATAGTCTCCATTTTACTAATGAGAAAATTGAGACATTAAAAAAAACATTGCACTTTAGGGTTTACTTTAAAATAATCAAGAAGCAGGGATGAGAAATGTCATGGGGTACAGATGAAACAAGGTTAGCCATAAATTGTTACTCGTTAAAGTTGAATAAGGAGAAAGTGAGGTTTCATTACACTATTGTTTCAAAATGTTTTATGTATTTGAAATTTTCCAAAACGAAAAGTTTTTAACATGTCACTAATAAACATCAAAATTCAAAACCAGATTTTGCTGATTTCAAGCTTGTTCTCTCTCTAATATATGATACACAGAATGATTTCTGAAAAACTGAAGAGCAATTTGCCAACCAGATAGTAAATTAAGAATTTAAGTTTTATTTTGGAAAGTAATACTCGCAAGTTGAATGCCCTCAAACAAGCATACATGAATCTTAGTGTTAAGATTTATTAAATGGAAGCCATCTTTTCCTCTGTTGAACAAGTGTGATGGCAAAATTGATTTTTAAAAAATGTCTTGGTGTTACTTCATTTGATTTTGTATTCTGAAATGATTTCTTTTCGCCTTTTCTTTTTAAAGAAGATAGCTTCTAAACATTTTGTAGTAATTACCTATTTATAGAGATAGGTGAGAATGACGATTTTGTCCATGAGACAGAGTAGGTTTATGGAATTTGTGAACTAATCTTTAATGAGATTGAACTTTAACTAGAGCAAGGAAAAACTTTTTGTTGTAGCTAATGAGAACCGCTTCCACTGGATTGACCTTACAGCTTTATCTTAATGCAGTTCTTTCATTCCTTCACCTGTTAAGTGAAAAGGCCTCCTGTTTAATGAAAAGGTTTCTTAAGAAATAGAATGTGCCTTAACTACACCATAAATCTATTTCTCAATACAAAATTATTCCATGAAGACATTATGCTAAGTGAAAGAAACCAGAAACAAAAGGCTATATATAAAATAATCCCATTGATATGGTATTCTATAATGGCAAAGTATATGGATAGAAAATCAATCAGTTGTGGCCAGGGCTGAGGGGCGGGAAGAGCGGATTGGCGGCAGGGGAACACAAGGGCACAGTTTGGGCTGATGGAACTCTGTTTTATCTTCATTGTTGTGGTGGTCACACAGCTGTACATTTGCCCAAATTCATAGAACAGTACATAAAACGTGTGAACTTACTACATGTAAATTATTTATCAATCAATCTGATTTTAAAAGTATAAATAGATACAGATACATAGTTTTGAAAATATGCCTCTTTGTCCATGAGAGCACAGTGGCCATGCACTTACCTGAATGTCAACAGGAAGCACCAGAACTTGGTTGTCAACCACAGTCATCATGATGGGCTGAATCATCAAGGCAATGAAGGGATTGATTCTAACCACCAGGGCGTAGTGTTCCATGCTCAGATTAATGCCCATCTGAAATCTGTCATCGTACAAATGAAAAGAGTTTTTAAAAGCACACACACACACATGTATTCAAATACAAAACAGTGAATTTGTTCTTCTCAAGGTTTTGCTTTGCTGAGGAAGCCCAGGTTTCCATTGACAGTTTTTTTTCTAAAAGCTCTTTTAGCATAGATAGTCCAAGGAAATAGACAAATGGGATGATGCAATATATTTTAACATTCCATGGGATGGGATATAGTATGCTAAGAATTTAAAACTAGTTAACCAATTCTAAAATAAAACCAAATTTTCAAAATACTCTGCAACTAAAGAACACTGAACATTGTTTGAAATAAATATGGCTTAGCAAATCACTTTTAAAAGTAGACATAACAGGCCGAGCGCTGTGGCTCACACCTATAATCCCAGCACTATGGGAGGCTGAGGCAGATGGATAACCTGAGGTCAGTAGTTTGAGACCAGCCTGGCCAACATGGTGAAACCCTGTCTCTACAAAAAAAATACCAAAATTGGCTGGGCGTGGTGGCACATGCCTGTAGTCCCAGCTACTCAGGAGGCTGAGGCAGGAGAATCCCTTGAACCCAGGAGGTGGAAGTTGCAGTGAGCCAAGATTGTGCCACTG